AAACTAATGTATTCTTTAGGGGAGAAAAAAGTGAATTGAGATCTACTGAAATCCACTTGGAGAAGAACATGGCAAGGGTTTGGGCAGATCAATCCTAAGAAATAAGACTGATTCTACTCTATGTGTTTAGCTAACAAGCAGCACTGATCATGAACCTGCTGCAGAGATGGCAAGGGAAATACTTTAAAGCTCAGTAGATGAAGTGGGAGGGTTTCATTAAATGATTGTGTTTCCATGGAATTGACACTCAAGCCTTACTTTGCTCAAGCTGGATGGTTGCTGGCATTATCATATTCATTGAGTAGAGATCAGAAATAGTTGGTAACGAATAAATTGACGTGAAGGAAAATCTCATTTTCTTGTCCTGATGGTTGGATAGTTTTTAACTCCAAAACAAGGAGCTTGGAATGATTGTAACACCATCAAATTGAAACAGCCTATTGCCTTAAAATGCTGTCCAGGTTTTGTTAACATCTTATGACTGAACATAACTCTCAGCTATTCTTTTCCAAAGAAGGAGAAAAAGGCTCCTGATGATCCTATTATTAGAAGGATGATAATTTTACTGGGGAGGAAAGATGTAACGTGAGGAAATTGGTTGTTGTTATAGGCAACTCTTAATCATTCCCAATGATTTCAGCTAAAGCAGATTCTTCGAGGGAGAACTTGTTCTGGGGGAGCTGATCAGCTGCCTCCTGGATTTTCCTGGCTTGGCTGGAGACAGAGCCTTTGTAGTTCTGTTTGCTCAGATGTAGTGTGCAGGATTATAACATTTCCTTAGCCTTGCAGAAGTCTGGCCACACATCTCCCACCACCACCATGAGCAATTCCTTCCCACTGCCAGCTCATTTCCTTTGCTCTTCTGAATCCCATGTCAGGGCATTTCATCTCCTCTCCAGCTCTGAAGTTCTCTGGTGCAAATTTCAGTGCTCACTGGCTAATGAATGTCTCTAAGCTGATGTTAAAATTAAATCAATAGTTTTAACTAGAACTGGTTTTTTACTCTGTAGGTCTGCCTGTTTTTGTCTCTGATGCCCATTGGGGAATGTTGCAGAGCTTTGACAGAATTTGAAGGTATTAAAATACCCTCACTGCTCCGTGCTGATGTTCAGTGTACACAGCAAATTGAGGCAAGAGGACTCCCTGAAATTAGGAGAACTTTCCAGCTGCTTGCACTGCATTTTGCATAGTTCCTAAGGACTGTTTAACACAGATTTCTCATTAGCACACTATTCTTGCATACTAAATGTTTTATAGGGTATTTTTTTGCTGTTATTACAGGCAATGGATGGTTTTCCTATAAGAAAATTGGTTCTTGATAAATGGGCTTATGAAACAGTTTTAACTCCTTACTACTACTCAGAAACATCATGTGCCATCCTAACTCTGTCTTTGATTGTTTGCATTCATCTGTGAATATCAAAGACCCCACACTGTTATTCTTCCTCAACCAGCTGTTGCCTTTATTATGCCAAATTTTGGTTTCCTTAGAGTAGACCAAAGTCATTCTTTTGATGATAAATGGATCAAAATTGGCTTCACCACCTCACTGACTCTTAGAAGGGGTTTTGGTTGTATAGAAAACAAAACATATTTTCTCCAAAGTAGTTTCTACAAACTCCCTTGACACAAAGTGCAAGATCCCTGCGCCCACTGTTCAGATTTCCAGAGACAACAAGGGTGTAGTCCAGCCTGGAAAGTTTAAGATTATGACCTGCATGTTCTTAGAGCTGTAAGCACACTTGGTAGCAACTAAAACAAGAAGCTAGACCAGAAAAATACTGGAGCAGAAGAGATTTCACCTGATCTGGTCCCAGATGGGCAGGGCAGGACATGGTGTGGCAGATTAGACCTGCAGGAGGGTTCTTAGCAAGTTCTGGTGGAAGGAGAGATGATTTACCAGCACATAAAATAAATGGATGGTGCATTGAGATGTATCAGTAGGAGTACTGAGTCACAGCTCATCATCTGGAAAACTGGAAATTTTCAGTACTACAGCAACACATTAGTTGATGTATATATTTTGGGAATGAGGGGACAGTGATAAGTAATGCTTTCTGGAGCATATTATAAGAGAACTGGGTTTTATCTTCTGGGTGTTTCCATCCTATAAGTTTTCCTGTCAGATTTGGGAGAACAATATTTCACTTGGCTTTCGGTTTGTCTCTGAATCATTGTTACAATGGAATTTATTCTCCCAAGCCTGAATTGCTGAAGAAAAAAAGACAGATCTGTTTGGGAGGTGGGTGGTAGAGAGGAGAGGAGGTGAAAGAAAGGGTCTGTGCATGACTGATCTAATTTTCTTCATCTCACACACTCAAGGCAAGTATGATAGTGTCTGATTAATAGTCATTATTAAGTGACCAAATGCTTATTTTCTTGGTTTGAAAATAAGATTTGAGAGAGCATTTCTCCTGTGATGGGCTGGATTTAACAGCAGTGTTGTGTAAGAGCTGAAAGGAACAATGACTTCTTTCGCAGAGGGAACAGTCTGTGCACTGGCCATGCTTCAGTGAAAAGACAAGAACTTGCTACCAGCATTTAATACATTTGTAACAGTTATAGGAAAGACACCTGTTGACAAAACATTATGTTTATGAAAGGCTTAGTGGAAAATGAATTCTTCTGCACTGGAGGCATGTCAATGTGGTTTTTATTGCTGAGGTATTGTTTGAACAGACACAGTCCTGGAAGTCATGGGCAGACCTCACTGTGGATAACTATGGAATTTCATATGATATTCACCAGTTGGTAACTCTTGGTATATTGGTAGTTGCATTTAATAGAAATTTAGATGAGGAGATAAAACTGAAAAACTTAACAATTTTGTCTCATGTATCATAAGCTCTAAAGAAAGAGGATAAACTCACAATCTAGAGATAAATTTTATTACTTATCAGCTGTAAAAGCTTGTTCTGTATGTCTAACAAATGCCTTTTTAAGCAGAGCTGTGGCACAACCATTTTCAATATTCACATTGCTTGCTGAATTATTGCACCAATGTGCCACTAGGTTGTTAGGTTTTGAAGGGAAAGACAAGGAATGTTTTCTTGGATGAAGTACATTAAAAAAACAATTTCTACATGCCTGTATCAGTTCTTATCCTCAACTTTACTGTGTTAATTTATACTTTTTTTTAGTGTAAGCTTTGTTTGGTTTTGATATTTTTACATTAGGAATGGCTGCAGATATGATTAGATATAATTGCTGTTTATTAATCTAGTGGAATTAAACTGTACAAACTTTTCTCAGATAAATACTTGTGTATGTTGCTATCAAAATATGTGTGTTATATTTGCTACTTTTACAGAATTCTGGTTTACTACTCATTAAATATTCAGGTAGTCTGGTGTCTCACTTATGAGATGTAAGAAGAGGAACTGAAAATAACTTTAATTCTGCAGAAGACTAGATGAAGAGAAGCGATTTTATTTTTGTAGCATACTTCTTAACATGTCTAGACTACAGGGTGGTACCACAGTTTGTAACATGACTGTATGGATTTCTGGCTTACCTTGAAAAAGTTGGGTCCCAAAATATTAGGATAGAATAAAACATTTGGGAAAGGTAAAGATTGTCTTAAACAAAGCGGAACCTATTGCTGTGGGAAGAATGAACGCAGTGTATTTTTATTACACGAATTTGAAAATGGTATCAGTTGGTGTGACGCTGCACCAATGCACCCAACTCCTCCCAAGGCTCCTTTACTGGGTTGTGCTAGGGCACACTTTCAATGCAAACATCATCCATTTGAACAAAAAGATACAAATTCAACAATTTAAATACATCATATGTTTCCAAGATGCAAATACACACGACAAAGGAGGATGAGAGGAGTGCTCATGAGGATGAGCTGTTCTTCCACCAGTGCGAGAGCTCAGACGGCATGTGCACAACCTCGAGTTGAGCTGCAGTTTTAGTTACAACACAGACATTTCCCTAACACTTTCCTCTATTTACCTGCTGCTTTCCTCGAAATTTTTAAGCACCGCAACTCAAATTTTTACGAGCCCACCACCTCCCTCTAGGTTATCTCCCAACGCCAGCTGCCAGAGACCCATCAACAACTGGGCTTCCAGCACGTTCCTGAGCACGTCAATTCTTTTGGAGCGGCCAAGACTCCTCGTTCATTTGGGCGGCAGAGCGGGGAGGCACCCGGAGCTCCTGCAGCGCGGGGGCAGCGAGGGAGCATCCCGGGGCAGCGGGCATCCCGGGGCAGCGGGCATCCCGGGGCTGCGGGCATCCCGGGGGCAGCGAGCATCCCGGGGCTGCGGGCATCCCGGGGCAGCGAGTGAACATCGCGGGGGCTGCGGGCATCCCGGGGCTGCGGGCATCCGGGGGCAGCGAGTGAACATCGCGGGGGCTGCGGGCATCCCGGGGCTGCGGGCATCCGGGGGCAGCGAGTGAACATCGCGGGGGCTGCGGGCACAGGTGGGACGCGGCCCGGCTGTGGCAGCGCGGGAGCGTCACCGCCACCTCCTCCCTCCCTCCCTTCCTGCGCAGAGCCCCGAGCCCGGGGAGCCGCAGAGAGAGCCCCGCGGTGCCGGAGGCCGCTGCGGGGAGCGGGGCCGGAGCGGGGGCGGCTCCGGCGGGCCCGGGGCGCGGACAGGTGGGCGGCGGGCGGTGCGGGCGGTGCGAGCGCGGCGGCAGGGGCGGACCGGCCGTGCGCAGGCGGCTCCGGCGCGGATGCCGAGCCCCCCGCACGACAGCGGCGGCGGCGGGAGCGGCGGCGGGAGCCGCGGCCCCGCGATAAAAAGGGAAGGGAAGGGGCCGGAGGTGCGCGCTGCGGGTCCGCCCGGGCGCCGTGCGGCAGAACGTGCCTGCTGGGGCTGGAGGCAGGCAGAGCCGGCGGGGGAGCGGGAGGCTGTGCCCAGCCGTGAGCCGCCGCCTCCCTCGCTGCCTCCCGCCCGCCCTCCCGCAGGAATCCCGGGCGGCGCGGCGGCTCCGGGACGCGCGGCTCCGCGGGGCTGCGCAGCGGCGGCAGCGGCGGCGGCAGCACTGAGAGCAGCGAGCGGGGGAGCCGCGCTGCCAGCAGCAGCCGCCGCCTCACGCTGCGGCACCGGCCCGGCCAGCGCAGGTGGGTGCGCAGCGCCGGCTCCCGCCCGGCCAGCGCCGGAGCCGAGTGCGGCCGGGGGGCTCGGGGGGCTCGGGCTGGGGATGGTTTGGTGGCATTGGGGCGGTGCCCGGCGCACCTGAGCGGCCGCAGCCCGGCTGGGATGGTGACCGCGTCCCGGGGGAGCCGCTCCCGTCCGGGAGTGGCCGGCGCTGCTGGGAAGGCGAGAGCGCTACCTGGACGTGTGCGTCGGCGCTTGGGAATTTTATTTCTTTATTATATCATCTTCAGGTTTGCTTTTTGTTTGTTGTAATTTTTTTTTTGTTTGGGTTTTTTTTTTCTTTTTCTAAGACCAGCTTGTTCTTGGAAATCGCGTTTGATTTCGGTTTCTGTTCCATTCAGTGCGCGGTTTCACCGTAGGGCAGCGCAGGGTTCGGGCGCCCGGAGCCTCCCGAGTTTGTTCCTGCCCGCTCCCGACTCCCGAGTGTGTTCCCAGGGAGCATTCGGGCTCCCAGGGATGGTGAGCGGCTCTGAGCTGCGGGAAAGGAGAAGGCATGTGCGTGCAAAAGCCAGGTTTCCCCCAGAGCTCGTACTCCGAAACTTCGCTATTCGCTGAAACCCGTGCTCTGAGCACCAGGAAGCTTCGGTTTTTCTAGGAAGGCGTGAATCTTCTGGTTTTTTTCACATTTTCAGGGAAGGATTAACGTGAGGTCTCTGGGTGTACTGTGTTTAGGTCTTATTTTGTTGTAAATTGTTATCTGTGGCAGATTGCTCAAAGTGCACTAAGCCTGGAATAAATTGAATGGTTTTCATTGTATAAAAAAGTTCAAGATCGCTGTTATTTCTATGAGATATAAGAGAAGTATTTGCTTTCAAATACTAGCAATTTTTATTTGCATACATTTCCTTATAACCTATATAAGGTAACCAAGCTGAGCATGGATATTATCTTTCTGTAAAACTATGTTCATTTTTCAGATGGAAGAACAAATCCAATTAGGTTTTTTTTTGTATTTACCAAGGAATTAAGTGCAGATTTTTTTTCATTGCCACTTCAGAAGTCATTTTGCTCTGTCAAGGTTATGATGTGTCCACCAAGCAAGGAGGATAAAATAAAAATCTGCAAAGAGTCTGAGAGTTTTAAGTGTCCTCTTGGTTTAAAATTAATTGGGATTGCTTGGTGGTAATTCTTCTTTCTTTTTTCTTCAAATGTATTAAAGAGAAAAATGTAAATAACTGGGTTTGAATATTGAAATGCACCTTTTACAAAAGGGGACGCTTTAAAATGTTTGCCTAGAAAAACAAGGGAGATGAAACATTGTGCTAAATAGGATCTGCAGCATAAAATATTGCTAATTTCTCTTGTGTGACTACAGGTGGCAGTGTAGAAGCCAAGAACAAGAATTGGCAGAAATTGTGCTCTGTGTACGAGACTATGAAGAGTGTACTCATGACTAAGCACAGGAACCTGGAAAACCACAGGTATGTGAAGTGATTCATGCAGCTGCCTATGGTGCTCCTGGTATTTACTGTATGCTGATATTCCTGCCTCAATAAGTATTTTTGGACCAATTATCACTTAATGTGTTCACAGTAAGAGCCTAATCAAAATGTCATGGAAAAATCTATATTTGACTACTAAAAGGAGAAAAAATACTTTAAAGGCGGTATGGAAGGAGAGGTGGGATTTTCCTACTTTTTATGGTTTATTGTATCTATTGAGAATTGGAACACTAAGTAGCCTGAAGTTGGGTTTTTTTATCCCTTTAAATAAATACATTTTGTATTGATAAACCTAGCAGCAGTTACAGGCCTGGATATTCTTGAAAAGGAGAAACTTTAGATGCAAGAGACAAGTTTGCATGTCTGGGTGTTTTGGATGTATTATCAGTGAAGTTTTTTAATGAGCACTGAAGGACTGAAAATGTGAGGAAAATTGCAGAACTAAGAAGATGTAATTAAAAATTACATGTAATTTCAAATAAGTGTCCAGAGGAGATATGTATACCTTGTTAAGGGTTAAATCTTGTGAAATTAAAAAAAAAGGCAACACTGTTTTCAATTAAGAAATAAAAGCAAAAATAAGCAGTATGTAATAAGAGCTCAAGATTAGGTCTCCTATTTCAAAGCACAGGGAAATACTAGATTATTTTAATAATTATTTGGTCATTAATTAGCAACATTAGAGTAAGGCAAAGCTTTTCTTGCATGTTTACCTTGGTGTGCACAGCCTGTGCAAATTAGTCCATGGCTCTGCATTCCTGGGGAGCCATGGAGGATGAGACAAACTCAAAGCTGGGGCTTGAGGATTTTTTAGAACTGATGAGTGGGAAGTTACCCTGGTAAGAAGCGTCAAAGTGGAATTATCACTGTGATCATGGGGATATTTATAGTCTTGCACTTCCTTCTCTGGCCTAGGAGAGCAGTTTGTCTAAACCTTCCAGCTGCTCCTGAGAGAACGTGGTTCTACTGCAGATTCCCATGGATGACCAAGCCACCTTGTGTCAGCCCCTGTGCAGGAGCTGGCCTTGGGCATGGTTTGGGCTATGCCCAATTGCAAAGGAAATTGCAGAGAGAATTATTTATTTTGCTGTTAAAATGGGCCAAGGCTGTGCACCCCACAGGCACAACCGACCAGCTGTCACCACTAAACTGTTAAATTTTAGTGACTTGGCATCTTGAGATCATGGAATCCAAGTAGAAATTATTAATTATTTCCACCCAGTGCTTAAAGTAGTGGCCAGAAAACCATAGTCCAGGTATGGCTTTGTGGGCACTCAAGCCCTGAAATTGTAAAATTGTAAAGTCTCTGTAGAAAAGCTGAGTGTCTTTTGGGGAATAGTGAGACCCTGATCTCTGGTTTTGGGTACATCATAATGCTTTCAAAATTCTGTGTGCCTTGGATAGAATACCCTGCAAAGCTTTCTAAGTTCTTCACTTACAAATGAAAAGGTGGCTAAATCTGGGTCTTCAGGCTGGTGTGCAGAAGAGAGCTCTTCTAAGCATCTGGCTGTCATGTTTGTCTTGTCAGCTGTTACTTCTGAATGAGCACCAGCACTAACTTCCATATAAACCAATAGTTCTTTTATTATTATATGTTATTGAGCAACAGGGTTTGAATATCCATCAAAAACTCACATTAATATCCCTGATAAAGTCAATGGAACTGTTTATGTAGTACAGGTCAGCATATGCTTATGGCTTTGTTGAACATTGTTCAGTTCATTAGCTTCTGCTAACACATTTAGAAGAGAAAATAAAAATGCCATTTGTCATCGGCACAAAATTTTAATGGGGTCTTCCATTACATCAAGTGCTGAAAATATTTTTTAAAAAATGGTAACTAAGCAGTGTGATGCTCAAGAGTTCAATTTACAGACACTTCTCTGTGCTAATTATGAAGTATTGACATAAATGAATGAAATCACTTGTTAGAGCGCCTTTTTCAGTGTATGGCAGTTATGTGTTCACAAGATGATTCATAACATTCAGCAATTTGTGATGAATTTCCCTGCCATTACAGGAGATTACTGAGTATCTGATGTATTTGCACTACAGTGGGTTACTTTAAATTAGATTTGATGGTGGAAAGGGAACTAGAACCATTTTCTATCAGCTGAAAAATCAGGGCTGTTTTGTGAATCAGTATTGAATTTTTTCTGTACTGTATGGCACAATTTACCCCTTACAATAAAATGCAAATGTTTGAGCATCTTGCCTATAAATACAGCAGTGACAGCATGTGTGTGTGGAAGCTCTCAAGACTTCTTTTGTGTCGAAAGCTGTGTACATCAGAGCCAACAAAATGCAGCAGACTTGGGGTAATTGAAAGTAGAATTCATAGTAAGAAATCTAAATTTGGCATCTAAGCACGTGAGGTCCCACTTTGAATCAGCAAGTCTTGGTTATGTAGAATGCTCTTTGATTTGGTGAAGGGTGTGTTTGTAGGTACAGCTCAAACCTCAGCAGTGCAGAAGAGGCTGCATCTTAAAAAAAAAAATAATTCTGTGCTTCTGTTTTGAGCTAAAAGTTGTGGCTGGTTGTGTTCTGTTGTCCTAGGGAAGCAGTGTTTAAGGGCTTGCACAATCAGTCCTTTCATGCTATCATAAAGTGGCTGTGATCTGTTAGATTATAAAGCATGATTGCCCAGCAGTTATGGGAAATGGCTGTTAATGATACCAGAGTGTTACACAAGAAAAATTAAACTTTCTTACTCTTTACTTCATAGGATTGTCCTGAAAATGGTTTGTGGGAGCCTGAGGAATGGATTAAAGATGCTGAATGGAAGGCAGAGATGTTATTGGCATTTCACAAAATAAATAAATACTTTAAACTTTCACAAGCACCAACCAGTCCAGAATTAAAGATGGATTTGTAGAAAATAACTAGAATGTTTTGAGATTTTTAGAAAACCAGTGTCTTCCAGGAGGATGAGGACAGTCTGAATCAAAGTCTCTGGAGGGAGAGACACAAAGTGAAAATTTCAATGGAATTCAGTGAGAATAAGCCTAAAACACAAAGAGTGTGTCTGAGGCCATTTAGCCTAAACCTTTTGTCTAGAGGTTGATATCAGATCTCCAGTTAGAAAAAAAAAAACAACATAAAAAGAAGCATTTACTTGCCCTCAACAGTATTAAAGCAGCTGTTAAACCAGAGGGATAGTTATGACACTGCAAGATGCTCATTGCAGATTAATGCAACTGAACTCTTGTGAAAGTCACAACATGCAAATTGTGAGGAAAACACTCTCAATTAGCAAATGTGTAAAGCAAACCTCCCAGCAGGTATTCCCACCTCTGTCTCCAGGGAGGCTGCCACTGGAGCTGTAATGCAGCAGGACATCAATCCTGCAAAAGAGAAATGACCCTGAAATTATATCCAAAAAATCTCATGCTGTAGATGAGACCTTGCTGTCAGGTGATGGCCAAGCATCCTTTTGCCCTAAAAATTCCATTGTATGGTCTTGGTTCCAGGTGATGGAGAGACATCTCCTGCTGTAACCAGTGCTGGAAGGGAGCATTTGGTGACCTCCCAACCACATGCCAAAGTGGCACACAGCAGCAGGAGTCTGGGCTGTCTTCTCATGGTGGGGAAGTGCTGGTGACACAAAGGCTCCCAAAAGAGTGCTGGAAGCAGCACATGAATTCCATGGGAAAAAGGAATAAATAAAGAGCTGTGCAGCATCAGTCTGCAGTGTGATCCCAATGTTCTGCTTGAGGAAAGGCACACAGGTCAGGGTGACACTGGCTGTGGCTGAAGTGTGTGGGGCAGAAGTTGATGAAGGGCATCTAGAGAACAGTCAAGATGCTGGAAAATTAGGCTCTGTTTAGACAGGAGCACAGAAGGACAGGCTGGCAGACCAGAATGGAAGGGTTTCTATGGAAATGTTGGAAGAGTGGAATGTAAAATGGAGGGGTTGATGGCTTAGTTCTGCAGTGAGTTATTGACAGTCCACATCTGCCATAGAGAAGGTATCAAGCAGGACATTGATTAAGGTTCCTGTGGACAGCCTGGTAAGAGGACCCGTCAAGAGAATAAAATGCTTGCAGCCATTCTGGAGAGATAAAAAAAAAAAGCCTATTTCTTAAAACCTGCTTCTCTGACTCTTTAAAAAAGTTTTGATGGATATTTAGCATGGTTGAGCAAGATGTAAGGAACAGAAAGATACTTTGCAAAAACTCTTTCAAAAATTTTATAAGGGTGAAATTCATGCAAAATAAGCAAGAAATATACAGTAAAACAAGTTAAAGCCTGATATGTGATTATTTGTAAAAGGCAGAGGAACTTGTCATAAGTTCTTTCAAAACAATCAGAAATGGGATGGCCAATGGTCCAACAGATAACAAAACTCTAAAAAGCTCAAAGCATATTGCACCTGTAGCTAAAGGCATGTGAGATAACAATGTTCACAGCAGCAGTGAAGCTGAGGGTGCCAAAGGTGATGCCAGTTTTTAAAAAGGCTTCCAGAAAGCCTGTGGGAAAGAACAGGACAAGTTTGACTGGCATTCATAGCAGCCAGTTTTCTGGTAAATACCATGGAGGAGAAACCTGAAGCATTCATGGACAGTTTGGTGTACCAGGAAAGAGTCAGAACAGTCTCTCAGGTCTGGTGGAGTTCTTTGAAGGCACTGCTCACTGAGGCTGTGAGTAAGTGTGATTTAGCTGATGCACAACACTGGGGTTTCAGGGAGTCTTGTGAGAGCGACTCACCAAAGGTGCTGAGCAAAATGAAACTGCTCTGACATAAGAGGATTTTTTTTTTTTTTTTTTTGTCCTAGACTGCTGGCCAAAAGATGAATAAATGTCCTGTTTAACAGAAGGGATGGATGGAGTTACTCATGGATCTGTGCTAAGTTTAACACCAGCATGCCTTGGTGATCTGGAAGGGAGAGTGCAGAATGATTCTAAGTTAATGAGAGCAGCATAAATGAAAGCCAATTATGAAGAACCCAAGTGGGAGCTTGTCATGCTCGGTAACTGGGGCTGAAGCTTGCTGCTGGTGCTATGAATTAATGCATGTGCAGGAGAACAATCCTGCCATTGTTGAAGTTATTAGCATGGAAGGAAGTGATGTTGTAGAGAGTTTATCATGCCAGATCCAAGCATTGATCAAGTGTTTGGGATTGGTCAAAATAAAAAGAAAAATTAGGGAAAAATGGCTCACAGAGCAGAAGTCTGCTCTGCCAGTTTGTAAACTGCCTGTGCTTTTGTCTTGGCCTCAGAGTGCTGTTCTGAGCCCTGGATTTAAAGGAAAAATGAGGGGGGAAAAAAAAGGGGGAGATGACAGAACTAGAAATGGGTGGCAGTGATGATAAAGGGCAATTAAATAGATTGAGAACCTTCAAACTGGCGAAGAAACAGCAAAAGATGAAAATGATAAAAATCGATATAGGAGTGTAATGGAAAAAAAAAAGTAAAGGGAATGTTCATTAAGAGTCTCTTGTAGTACAAGACCCAGAGGGGATCAAATAAAATTATCAGGTGACAGATTCAGAACAAGAGGTGGTATTTTTTTCATAGCGCATAGTTTAGCTGTGAGCCACTGCATGCGCTGCAGGATTATCTGGGTGTGGACTCGGTGCAAAAGCACCAACTCTTGCTTAGAAGAACACAGAGACTGGTCCCTGAAGGCTGCAGAGGGATCCCAAAGTCCATCCCTGCATGCTGTTCCTGTCCTGGTGCTCTTCCCAGACCTCTGCTCCCAGCCTTTGCTAAAGACAATGTGAGGACAGATGTATCTTTGGCTGGATTTAACGTGGTTATTGATATGCAAAATGAAGAAAAATTGCAGTCCCATACAGAAGATGCTGACCAAATGCCACTCCAGATGCATAACAGAAATATTGGTGAGGAAAACATGTTGAGAAGGACAGATTTTTTTTTATTTTCTTGGGCCTGATGGCTTCCCAAAGCAAAAAAGGTTCAATTTTCTTTGGAGAATGTACCAGTCTTTACTATACCTTTAGTATAGTAGAGGTATAGTGAACACTGGTACATTCTTTTTCTTGCTGTGGTTTAGTTGATATGGTGATGATTGTCCAAAGGTTGGACTCTCTGATCTAGGAGGTCTTTTTCAGCCTTTTTGGTTGTGTGATATGTGGAATTTAATGCCTATATAAGGGAATTAATATTCTTAGTTCTGGAGTATCAGCATTCAGCTGTACCTCTGTCCTTGTTCAAAGTAAGTTGGACACTTGTTATACCTTGCAGTTTCTCTTGAGAGGGACTGAATTAAAAACCTATATTCAAAAATAAACTGGAGAATTTTGGTTCAGGATAAAATGCTTATCGACACTGTAAAATGAAAAATACAGGTTTTCAACATGGAAGATGAAATCTCCTTTCCTATAAAAATGGAGAGGTTACACCTTGGCTTGCTCCTTATCCAAATGTAGAAGGACTAAAGCTATGTCAGACTTGAACTGAGTAAGAACTTGGAGAGAATAGGTTATTCAGAATAAACAACAACTTGACCATTAGACATGAGAATGGCATTTAAATAATTAAAGTATTTAGAAGTTATAAAACCAGGCTTGTGTAGCCTTCCAACCCAGTAATAAATGAAATCAAAGGAGAGTCTCCCAATGGAAAATCTTGGTGTGAACACAACAAAATCAGCACGAACACTGTGCTGCGCCCTACAAGGAGTCACAGGAGGGGATGGAGCAGGGAACACAAGGGTTAATCCAGGAATATTTGTCTCCTTGGGTTCCTGGGGTTGTACAATAATTCAGTTTCCCCAGTGGGTGATGAGCAGCACCCCAAGCTGGCTTCTGCTCTGGATTACCTGCTGGGGGAGGTTTTCTCTGTCCACACTCACTGACAAGGGAAACAAAGCAGACTGGCCTCCCTCAGTCAAAGCTGGCCTTTGAATATACACATCCTATATGTTACTGTCAGATCTGATTTTTCTGATTTTTTGTAGGTCACTTTTTTTTCCTCAGTGATACTAAGATAAAAAATACATGAAAAGACAATACCAGCTAAACCCATTTTTAAGAGTTTCATGGAGAAGTGTCTGTTTCCTGCTAAAGTTCAGATTGTCCCACAAAGTTTTCCATAGTTGCCTGTTAAGCTGAGAGTCAGATTAAAACACGAGACTAAAATATTCTTCTGTTTAGAGGAAAAAACCTCTAAAATCATATTTTTCTGAAATAAAATGAAGAATCATGCAAAAAAATTATATGGAGTTTTTGTAAATTACCAAATTAGGGCAGTAGGGTCTGTTTGAAAGAAAAGTTTAATTATTTACCTAATTATTTACCACCTAAGACACTCATCTCTCTCAAAGATGGGAGAGGAATCATTCTTGTCATTAGCTCAGTTATTTTGATGATTACCTTGAATGGCTTTCAGTCTTCCCATTCGTTCAACAACAGCAAAACAGAGTAATTTCTTTTTTTTAATTTTCCATGGTAGAATGTTATACTAAAGGAAAGAAGAAATATAGGAAAAATCTTGGTTTTCTCTTTATCCAGTAATTAATATAGTGAGGTAATGAAGCTGAACCAGTGGCAGTCAGGCACTGAAGGGGATTTGGGTCAGCACAGATAGCAGCAAGGTTTGATTGTTCTCTAAAAAGAATTTGTTACCAGGCACTGTGGAGATGAGCTTCACCAGTAACATAGAGGGTTAGGCTTTCATATCTATTTAAAATCCTATTTCAAGCTGTAGTGTGTGGCCTTAAGTGGTTAAGGGGATGCACCAGCCATAGCATGTTTCCCAAGCAATTATTTATTCCAGTGTTGTCTTAGAAAGTGGGCACTGCTGTATGGTTTTGTTTTTCTTTTTAATTGAGTGGAATCAGTTATTTGGAAACTATTTCAGTTACATTTTTCTAATACGAGATCCTCTGATAAAACAAGTTGTTTATTTCAGTATTACAAAGCTTGTGCACACATACCTTTTTTTTATTTTCCTTTTTATCATCAACTCTACTTGAATTTTTCATTTTTTGGGGGAAGGTATCAGGCACTGTAATTATTCTCTGTTTCCTTACAAATAGTTGATTGTACTTGTTAGTTTTTATGTGAATAGTTCTTAGTGTTCCTGATAATTGAGGTGGTTGAGCCCTATATAATGAAAATAATAATAATTCTGAAGTCAAAATGAAAGTCACATGCTGCCTTTGATTCAGATTTTGGTTGTAAGAAGTCTGTGTTGCTCACAAAGAAAGTTGTAAACTCTGGTGAAACCTTTGATAAGATGGAAGCCAGGGCCCAAAGCAAATCAGAAATTGCTTATCAGGTCTCTCTAGAGCCAGTGGCGAGGCACAGACAACTTCTGACATCACCTCTTTCAGCCTTGGGTCCTGCTGCCTCCTGAGAATGCACAGAAATTCCAGCTCCTCTAATTTCAGACCCTGAAACCTTTGCCAATTTGCTTTTTCAACTTTTAGATATGCCTTCTTTTCTAGTTTTGTTTTTCTGATTGTTGTTTCTTTGCTTCACAGCAGTTTTACCTTTAATCATCAAATTTACAGGTGGAGTTTTTTTTAATTTTGATCCATCTTGGTGTTTCCTGACACATGTAAACATAATGTCTGTGGTTGCTTTACCCTGTGCACAAACAATTTCTAATTGGAATGAATATTTAGCAGCATATCAAACACATAGACATAGCAATGCTCTCTCCATTGACCCAGACTGGGTTATTTTTTGA